TACGAGAGTTGTCGTAAATTAACTTTTTGAAATAGATATCCGGGTTCAAATGTTACGTTCAAACAACCCTAAATTATTTTCTTACTGTCTTAAATCATCAGGTACACGGCTAGTAGACAACTGTATTAGTTATAGGCTAAACCCTCTATAATATAATATAATATTCAGGGTCCATCGTTAGTCAATAACTATACTACAGGGTTAATATATGATTTATTTTTCTTTCTAAGGTCGAGATATATCTATCTGTATTCAGTACTATGTTTGTTTTGAAATGTTGCACCTATTAAATATATTCATATACTCGTTACTGTCTTCTACTTTCTTTGTTTGAATTACAAACATTATTCAGGGGATATATTCCTCTAGAAATGTCCCTCATTAGCTGAGTTCTTCATAACATAACCGTGAGTCTGAATTAGAATGCCGCACAGGTACAGAGGGGACTACCATTTCGGCTTTATTGACCCAGTTTCCCCTGTTACTAATGTAGGTCTGAGGGACTGACATGGAATAGCGTCTAGTCACTCGAGTAGGACAATAAACCAAGGCCGTGTGTGATACAGACTGTGCACATTAAAGATTCCTCAACAGTTGGAAAGTGAATGTTTCTATCCAGTCAAAATTTCCCTCGTTGCACACTTGTCTACTTTGGCAATAGGACGTATAGATAATAAATTTTTTCACCATAACATTTGGCTTTAACTTTTTATTAAGATTATTATATAAATATTTCAAATCATATCGAGTAAATCTATGCCAACTCCTGTTTGTAATATATTTTGGGAGGGGTTTTATGACTGTATTAGTTAGTTACTACGCGGTTCAGTACAATATTAAACGATGTGTGATCACTTCACTCGATTTATAAAAAAATATACCTAAAGTAAAAATATGTTTATAAGAAAAACGAAATCGGTCATGGTCAAGCTGGAAAAGAAATTATTAACCAATAGTATTCATCTTTATTCAACATTGTTCGAGCGTAAAGGGCAAATCTAAAAAAGCAGAAAATCTGTTAAAATGGCGTCAATTAATGGACATTCGAGATTAAAATGGGACTATTTTAAATGACCTTAAACAGGTTAATGTTACTTCATTCCAAATAGACTTAAAAGGAAACGCCGTTAATAAATATCCACTCATTGGGTATTAAAGGGGCAGTATGAATTCTCTGAAATATAAATATGATTTATGATTAAAGTATCGCCTCCAACTCGAGTTCCCAGTATTTAATACGTCTATAAGGTGTATATATATATCACAAGAAGTTTAATCTTCCCTCAAAGCTATCTTATATATAAATAAGGAAAGAAAATATGTAATTTTGACTTCAAGCCGAATTTGATAATTGGGACATTGATGTATGATGTGGCTTTCCATTTTTCTCAGCCTGTGATGGTCCCGGAGTCGTACAGCTATTCGACTAGGGGATGTTAGGTCGTGAGAAGAGAGATAGTATTTCAGTATTAATAGGTATTGATAGCTCGAGTTTCAGAGAACTTCTCAGCTAAATTTATCTCAGAAAGTATGAGTTTGTGATTATTGGGCGAAAGAGGATAAAGGCCAGCACTGGGCCGACTCTCGGAGTCATTGATCTTGCGGATTCTAACCCACTTATCTAATCGCCAAGCAGACAACAATTCAACTCGCTATTCCAATGCCACAAAAAATATACAGTGTTCCAACACAGCTTATAGATGTACGACATTACAATAGGTTTTCACCCTCGGGCAATTTGAGTGGTAACATTGTAGGGTTAGAGTGGTAACATTGTAGGGTTAGATTGGTAACATTGTGTGGTAAGGGTGGTAACATTGTGGGGTTAGATTGGTAACATTGTGGGGTAAGGGTGGTAACATTGTGGGGTTAGAGTGGTAACATTGCGGGGTAAGGGTGGTAACATTGTGGGGTTAGAGTGGTAACATTGTTGGGTAAGGGTGGTAACATTGTGGGGTTAGAGTGGTAACATTGTGGGGTTAGAGTGGTAACATTGTGTGGTTAGAGTGGTAACATTGTGTGGTAAGGGTGGTAACATTGTGGGGTAAGGGTGGTAACATTGTGGGGTTAGAGTGGTAACATTGTGTGGTAAGGGTGGTAACATTGTGTGGTAAGGGTGGTAAGGGTGGTAACATTGTGTGGTAAGGGTGGTAACATTGTGGGGTTAGAGTGGTAACATTGTGTGGTAAGGGTGGTAACATTGTGGGGTAAGGGTGGTAACATTGTGGGGTCAGAGTGGTAACATTGTGTGGTTAGAGTGGTAACATTGTGTGGTAAGGGTGGTAACATTGTGGGGTTAGAGTGGTAACATTGTGGGGTTAGAGTGGTAACATTGTGGGGTTAGAGTGGTAACATTGTGGGGTTAGAGTGGTAACATTGTGGGGTTAGAGTGGTAACATTGTGTGGTTAGAGTGGTAACATTGTGTGGTTAGAGTGGTAACATTGTGTGGTTAGAGTGGTAACATTGTGGGGTTAGAGTGGTAACATTGTGTGGTTAGAGNTGGTAACATNTGTGGGGTTAGAGTGGTAACATTGTGTGTAAGGGTGGTAACATTGTGCCACAGGCTACTTGCATCGTTATGCAGTGTGCAATGGAGGACAATTTGCCAGATCATCAACATTGACTTGTAATTTTATATTTGGTTTCAAAATAATGAGTTTCATGTCACAACCTTAATTCAAAATCAAAGTGTGGTGCCAACAGTAGCTCGTTGGAAGACAAGAGTCTACCATAGAGTATCATAAAGGGTTCTCTCGCCGAAAAGTTTTGAACAGTAGAATGGAATTGATGACACACATTTTAGGGCAAAAACGTACAAAAATCACATT